GGATTCTTCCCTCAGACAAACACACCTTTGCCACTGTGGATTCTTCCCTCAGACAAACACACCTCTGCTCATGTGGATTCTTCCCTCAGACAAACATACCTCTGCTCATGTGGATTCTTCCCTCAGACAAACATACCTTTGCTCATGTGGATTCTTCCCTCAGACAAACACACCTTTGCCACTGTGGATTCTTCCCTCAGACAAACACACCTCTGCTCATGTGGATTCTTCCCTCAGACAAACACACCTCTGCTCATGTGGATTCTTCCCTCAGACAAACATACCTTTGCTCATGTGGATTCTTCCCTCAGACAAACATGCCTCTGCTCATGTGGATTCTTCCCTCAGACAAACACACCTCTGCTCACGTGGATTCTTCCCTCAGACAAACATACCTTTGCTCATGTGGATTCTTCCCTCAGACAAACATGCCTCTGCTCATGTGGATTCTTCCCTCAGACAAACACGCCTCTGCTCATGTGGATTCTTCCCTCAGACAAACATGCCTCTGCTCATGTGGATTCTTCCCTCAGACAAACATACCTTTGCTCATGTGGATTCTTCCCTCAGACAAACATGCCTCTGCTCATGTGGATTCTTCCCTCAGACAAACACGCCTCTGCTCATGTGGATTCTTCCCTCAGACAAACACACCTCTGCTCATGTGGATTCTTCCCTCAGACAAACACACCTTTGCTCATGTGGATTCTTCCCTCAGACAAACATGCCTCCGCTCATGTGGATTCTTCCCTCAGACAAACACACCTTTGCCACTGTGGATTCTTCCCTCAGACAAACACACCTCTGCTCATGTGGATTCTTCCCTCAGACAAACACACCTCTGCTCATGTGGATTCTTCCCTCAGACAAACACACATCTTCCCATGTGGATTCTTCCCTCAGACAAACACACCTGTCCCCACATGGACTCTTTCCTAGACTACCACATATGTCCTCACATTTACTCTCTCCTCAGGAAACACACATTTCGTCACGTGGACTCTAAACTCAGACAAGCAAATATGTCTCCATGTGAATTCTTCACTCAGGTAAGTACACGTGTTTCCACACTGTTTTCTTACACAGGCACATATATCCAATGTTGAACGGCTTTATGGCAAAATGATCTCAAGGTAATGACAACTATAAACACCCTCCCTGACAAGGTGGAGATCTGCCTTTTTTTCATTTTAACTTTGCCTCATTTTCAGGAGCAGTGGTTTGCAGCCCTAAGTGCACTGATTACAGACAGATGTGCATTTTCTCAGGAAATGTATTTCTTATGTTCTTACTGGACTTACTTGTTGATAATGTTTGTTACTGTGAAGATACCTGGAGAGTGCCCACATTAGAGAATAAGAAAGAGTAATGGGCAGATTACCCCTGTGGATCCAGACCCAGGAATCCTTTGACCCTGCCCTCCTGAAATGGAGACACAGAGGATGGATGAGCAATGCTGAGCGGTGCACTGTGACCACAAAAAGAAAGACATGGAAAAGTGTCCCCTCCCCTCCTGATGAAAGGCAGCTCATCCCCGTTCCTTCAGGTCCTGGTGAGGAGTCACCCCATGTCTGTGCCCTTCCCCAGTGTCCACACCGTGGGGTCTGCACTGATCTGGATTCCCTTCAGTAATGGGGTCCCTTGTGGATCAGGTCCAGCTGTGGCTGCTCCACATGGGGCTGTTCTCAGTCTGCTCCCTCCGTGTTTGCAGAAGTCCTGTGTGAAGTTAACTGGTGGAGTCTGAGGGGGAGAAATTGTACAGCAAACGGTTCACTGAGCTTCTCCTGCAAAGCCTCTGGATCCGCCTTCACTGATTACAGTATAAGCTTGGTCCAGCACTTGTTTGTGTGGGTGACAACAGGGAGAAATTCAAGAGGAAGGTATCAGCGGTGCCCTCCATGGGTACACAGAAGCTGCACGGTCCCCAGAACTTCCTTACGTGCATGGTCTCACTACCACGTTTGCTCTGTAAATCACAATGAGTGATGCTTTCTTCATCAATCACATATTTGATAAGTATTTTTAGGTGTCTTTTAAAACACTGGTAACGTTATCCTATATATTATCACTGTTAAGATCTGGAAGTCTTTTTTGGTGTCTACTTTGTCTGAAATTTACACAGCTACCATAACTTTCTTTTGGTTCATATTTTTATAATCCGTGTTTTCTCATTTTATATTTTCTATTTCTGAATATGTGGTGTAACTTTCTTGTACATAGCTAAGAGTTTGGTCTCACCTTTTAAAATCAACTATAATAAATTTTATTTTTAAACTGATATGACTTTTTCTGTTAAATTTGTTTAAATAAGCATTTCATAATGATGTTTCTCTATTAAGTTATTATTAAATTCTTTTTATAACTGTTGTATTGGTTACCATGAGGTTTACAATAAGAACTGAAAATAGATTCTAATGCAAATACTATGACACTCTTGATATGAAGTAAGAGATAGTTGTAACTGTGCTTTGAATTCTCCTTCCCACCACTCTTTCTTGTTTATTCTCAATTTGCACTTACATATGCTATGAAATGTAATATGTAATTTTTTATTTTGTTTCATATTACAGCAATTACAAAGACTAAAAACTGCGATTCATCTTTATGTACCCTATTTTTACAATCTTAATTTCTTTGCGTAGATTTATGTTTCGAATTCATATCATGTGAATTCATAGCAGAGAAACTTAGTTAAAATGTGCACCGAAACATAAATGTGCTGACCACAAATTGTCTCAAGATCTTTTTTAATGACAGAATTATATTTGCCTTTCACTTTTAATGAAATTGTAATGCGAGTAGAATTCCAGTGTAATTTCCTGTGTAATTTATTTTCTTCATGTATTATTTTCTTCCTAGATGTGATCACATATTACATCTGCTGGGCTTTTGTTACCGCATTTCTGTGAATCTAGTCAGGGTTGGGTTTCAAGTTTATGTTTGCCAGGACTGTCAGAGTTGAAGTCAGCTTCTCCTGTTCACAAAAATCTTCAGGTTCCTCTGGCAATACCTGCTTTTGTGTTCCTGTTTGGGTTTGGGTCCTCACTTTTCATTTTCTCCAGAGACAGCTTGTCTCTTCAGCTGTGACGTGTGTTCTACTGACAATTTTACTTGGTGACTGTGTGGTAAAGGGGCTTGGACACAGAGGGACATTATCCAGCCTCCTGTCTAAGCCTCCTTGTTAGCTATGTTGGTGAGACTGGCTCTGAAACACGGCCTTCCAAGCGTTCCTATTCCTTCCCTTCCCCAAGTGTCAGTGTCTCTTCCCAGCCACAGAGGTTCCTCATCAGTGTCCACAGCTTCTGACCCACTGTCCTTACCCTGCAGACTCAAAATTCCATTCCTCAGGAAAGAGATGGCAGGTGTTTCTGGGTGGAGTTTCCTTGGTGTCCTCCGTTTCCTTGTGTTCTAGTTGATTCTACCAGTGCCCACAGGACACAAGATTTAATAAAAGTCTCCTGCATATAGTGAAGGGGGCTCAGCATTGAACAGAGCTGCTGTTCTTCCTCCCCAGTCAACACCATAGGATGGCAGGTGGGTGAGTTGTCTGGGGACTTCCCCAGTTCTGTGGGAAAAGCCTGAAAGTGCCAGGAGTTTCACACCCTAACATCACTAGCACACACATACAAGCAACTCAGTAAACATTTCCAGGTTAGCTTCTTCCTATCTTAAATGCCATGCCGTGAGTGTCACCTGCCCTAGGAACTATAATAAATGGTCCCTAATTCTCTCTGCAGGTGCCTATTTTCTCTAAATTTAGGGTTTTTTTTTCTCTATGACATCAACTGAGATATGCTGAAGGGTTAATATTTTTGTTATTGTTTATGTTTTTTGTTAATGAAGTCAGAAGATCATCATTTTCTCATTATTTACATTCCCATGCTTCATATTGGATTTCTAAATAAAATTCAGAAACTAAGGCAACACATCAACTGTGCATTATTTGGTGCATTTTTAAAGAATTTGAGAAATATTTATGTACCAAAATGCAAGGAACCATTGAAACCAAGGCATGCCTCATTCACATAAGAACACAGGGACATTGCAAAATAATTGTGCTGTGTGAAGGAAGCTAAAGAATTAACAGTAAATTTCACGTGATTTCATTTGTGTAAATTGTAGAAGATGGAACTATTCAAAATGGACATGGAGAAGATCTGAATTTTTCTGAGAATAGGGAGGTTAGAGTAACGAGGTGGTGAAACAAAACTACAGAGAAGTGGGAGGAAAAAATAGAGGTTAATTTAATTGCTAACAACATGGTTGAAGTGCTGATTCAATGTCTGCACACACATATCAACATTTTCCAAATGCAGAACTACAAATGTGAATTGACTAGTGATTGATTTTTTAATAAAGCTGCAACAAAAATGAAACTATTGGCTGAGAAAGAGAAAGAAAGAGATGAATATTGGTACTTGAATAATCACAGACTCCTTAAAGTATGCACACGTGAGCACTGATTGTATATTTCAGGTAAACACTACAAAAAGCACAATGAATTAAAGCTGTTTTGACAGGTGGGACACCCTGAGAACCTCAGTGGGCATGTTCCACACTGCCCTGGCGCTGTCTCAGGGGAGCAGTCTCCTCCAGTGTTTACAGACACAGGCACAGATAATGTGGCTAACTCTCTCCAGATCTGTGATACTGGACACATTGCACAACTTCTCTGTTCTGCGTGTAGTTTATATTCTCTGAAAATGTAACATTGACACTCAAATGAAACATATTGGGCAAATATGTACTAGTAAAATAAGATGATGACTGCTAAATGATTATCAAGGTACAATCACATAATCTGAAGATGTATTTTCCTGAAAGACAGAATTACAGCCAATGTTTTCCAGGACACTATCATCTGCTCTGGGCCCTGCCCTCTCCTCTGCCACCCCACCCCAGAACTTGCTATATAGCAGAAGACATGCAAATAGGGCTCTCCCATGCTCATAAAAATGAGCTCAGCTCTGACCCTGGAGCTCTGACAGAGGAGCCCAGCCCCAGAATTCCCAGGTGTTTCTTGTATTTAGTCATCAGCACTGAACACAGAAGACTCACCATGGAGTTTGGGCTGAGCTGGGTTTTTCTCGTTGCTATTATAAGAGGTGATTCATGTAGAACTAGAGATACTGGGTGTGAGTGGACATGAGTGAGGGGAACAGTGGATATGTGTGGCAGTTAATGACAAGGGCGTCTCTGTGTTTGCAGGTGTCCAGTGTGAGGTGCAGCTGGTGGAGTCTGGGGGAGGCTTGGTTCAGCCCGGGGGGGGTCCCTGAGACTCACCTGTGCAGCCTCTGGATTCACCTTCAGTAACTACTGGATGAACTGGGTCCGCCAGGCTCCAGGGAAGGGGCTGGAGTGGATTGGACAAATTAATCCTAATGGAGGTAGCACATACCTCACAGACTCCGTGAAGGGCCGGTTCACCATCTCCAGAGACAACGCCAAGAACACGCTTCATCTACGAATGAACCGCCTGAAAACCGAGGACGCGGCCATGTATTACTGTGCTGGAGACACAGTGAGGGGAGCTCAGTGTGAGCCCAGACACAAACCTCCCTGCAGGGGCGCGCGGGGCCACCAGGGGGCGCTCGGGACCCACCGAGGACGGGACAGGTCCCAGGAGCAGGTGCAGGGGGGGATCCACCTCTTAACTGCAGGAGGCAGCCTTGTTTTTGCAGGACTAAGCAGTCTTCTGAGGTTGTGATATTTTACTGCGATTAATTATCATGAGTTTTTATTGAGATTTATGTTTTGGTAATTTTAAAATTTATATGTAGGGGTATTTTAAAAAAAATACATAGCTTCAAGAAATAATTTTTCCTATTAATTTGCACTTATTCTTCCAGGGTTTTGTTAATATCTGTTGACATCAGCAATTACATAGCTATGGGGACATTAATTTACATCCTAGAAATATGTATAAATACACAAACATGCATATATCTGTAGTCTTTTATATTTAACATAATAAAATTATAAAATATGTCCTAAAGAAAGAAACTTAATAATTAACATAATATAAATTAGAGTAATCCATAATTGATTGCAGCCATTCTCTATAGTTTACATAAATTGATGTCTATTTGTAAGCTTAAAGATAGTCTACTGCTTATTTTAAAATAGCCAAGAACAAATTACAAACGTCCTTGTCACACACATAAAAACATAAGGATTTGAGGTGATATATATGTCAAATAGCTCGATTCAATTATTCCATATTGCATTCATAAATCATTATATAGCTTTGTACCCTATAAATGTATACAACTAAAGTTTCTCAATTTTTAATAAAATTTTAATGACATAGTTTTTAATCCATCCTACGTTATGAAATTTTCTCCCTGCCCAGGTGTGATTAGATTGCCCTGAGAAACTCATTCACCTTCTGGTCTCCTAAAGGCTTCAGCAAGCAGCTCCTAGATGGGCAGAAGCAAGCAAACCATGTGTGTCCCTAGAACTTGAAGCCTCTCTCTCTTTGGATTAGGCCACCTCCTCAGAAATCCACGGTTCTTCAATTTTCTCAACATGCTATTGTACCAGATAAGCACAGCAACACCTAATTTCATTCTGCTTTGCTTCAATTTTTCAAAACAACATACATGAGACCCTTCCTGTCCTTCAAAGTTTCTTCTGAAGACTTTGTATGAGTTACGTATTTTCAATTTTTTTCTGAGATGGAATGCTGACATCTCCTTATTAGAGATTACTCTTTTAATTTATCTCTTACAATTATTTTTCCCACAGCCCCACCCTCCCATTTAGAACCATGGAGTGGAGCAGTGCCAAGAATGAGCCGGGTGCCAGGGGCCACCGCATGTGCCAAGTGGGAAGAGGATGTAGGCTTTTATCAAGGAATAAACTGTAGGCTTTTGTCAAGGAATTATTTGAAGACACGAAGAACACAGATAGGTGGAAAATAAAATACATTCACATCCCTTCAAGGGTGAAAACTGAGGAAAGTTTACCCAAGTGTGTCTAGAGGGACCTGTGGCTTCGTTTCTGCCTAGGTCCCAATCTTAGAGTTCTCCCAGGATTTTGTGGTTAGCTGGTCATTCCTCATCAAGAACTGACTTGTGCTGTCTTTTCTATATTTCCCCAAAGTGTTTGTCTAATCTGAAAACCAATTTGTCTATAAAATGTACAGTTGAAATACAAATATTCATTTGTAATCATCTGGCACAAATTGTCTAAGAAAAGTTGATAACTAGATGTTTTTCAATCATTTTCACTTAAAATCGGTGGCTAAGTGGTGATAATTTTTGATAACAACTGTGACTCTGCAGTTTTATCTTCTGAGAATATAATCTCATCTTAGCTTCAATATTACATTTATTTTTTTTTTGCAGTGACTTCCAGCTTTATATTTTCCAGGAATCTGGGATAAACGAGTGCTTCTAAGAGTTCCCTAACTTGCCCAGTTTGGTGGATCTTCCGGAGGATACAATACACTTTTTTTATTACAAACCAAACCAAAGCCATGCACTTCCCCAAAACATGCTTATTTTTAACTTTGAAAAACTGGAAAGTTATTTTTCTTTTCTTTTTGAGATGGAGTCTGGCTGTGTTGCCATGCTAGAAGGCAGTGGTGTGATCTCACTGCAACCTCTGACACCCTGGTTCAAACAATTCTCCTGCCTCAGTCTCCCGAGTAGCTGGGATTACAGGCGTGTGCCACCAAGTGTAACTAATTTTTGTATTTTTAGTAGAGATGGGGTTTCACCATGTTGGCCAGGGTGGTCTTTGTAAGGCCGGTTGCCTTGCTGGGAGTCAAACGGACACATTCATCACTCTCTGTGCCTGATAAGTGCGTCATCACCCAAGCTCATTATCTGGCTTCCCCACATCCGCCTCTGCATACCATGTCCAAGGTCACACTCAGCACTAAATTATCCATCTAACCTCCAGCCCACTGTTAATAACCCTGCAGAGAAATTTTTTTAAAAGAAGCCCTACCGTTCCCTGCCCAGCAATAGCCTGCCCTGTATGCTCCCAGCATGCCCGCATACCCAAGGTCCTGCCCACCTACCAATGGCAGTTACTTCCTACTTTAACTCCATGTACTTCCTGCTCCTCAACAGCCAATAGAGATGCCTGCTCTTTGTTTCCCCAGTAGTCAATCAAGGCCCACTTCCCCAAGGTCCCGCCTACCAATGGCAATTACTTCCTACTTTAACTCCATGTAGTTCCTGCTCCTCAACAGCCTATAGAAATGCCTTCTCTTTGTTTCCCCTGTAGTCAATCAAGGCCTACTTACCCAAGGTCCCGCCTACCAATGGCAGCTACTTCCTACTTTAACTCCGTGTAATTCCTGCTCCTCAACAGCCAATAGAAATACTTTCTCTTTGTTTCCCCAGTAGTCAATCAAGGCCCAATAACCCAAAGTCCCGCCCATCTACCAACGGTAGCTAGTTTCCTGTACTTCCTACTCCTCAGCAGCCAATAGAAATGCCTTCTCTTTGTTTCCCAGTAACCAATCAATTGCCTGCACACCCCATAAAATCCCACACCATGAACAACCGGGTGCGACTTCTCTGGCCCCTCTTGGACCACTGAGGTTGCCCAGGAGCTGAATGAATTGGCTTCTCATCTTTTTTCATACCTGCCTAAGTTTCCTCATTTTACCGTGGCAATAAACCTTACAGTCTTGATCTCCTGTCCTCATGATCCGCCTGCCTCAGCCTCCCAAAGTGCTAGGATTACAACTATGAGACACTGCACCAGCCTGGAAAGTTCTAATAAATACAATCACTTCTGCCATCTGGGTTAATTTTACATCACATGGGAACTATGTTCTAAATGAAAGCTTATGTTAGTAACAGCAACTTTAGATAAAACCTAGAATTTTACTATTGAGATGCAAGTCATAACAAATAATATTAGATTGAGGTTCTCAGTGAGAGTGTCTAAATCTTTTGGGTGTATAGAGTCTTCCTCATTAACATGAAGCATTTATAAGCACATAGTTTCCAGCCATGCTTCTCCCTGTGTCATTATCTCCACAAGCTATGACCTCACCTGGAACTTGGGTTAATTTCCAAATAAGTTATTTTTTAATCTTTATGCCTCCAGATTATTATGGGATGCTATTTCATTAGAAAGCTAAAAATAAAAATTGTACTGACTGAACAACACAAAGTCACTAATAAAATGCAAAGCCTGGATGGGAGAGGCTCCAGGCCTGGATAATGCAGCAGGTCACGTCTGCAGGTAGCTACTTTACCCAGTTCTACACCCAGTATGTGAGCTCCACGCCCCATTTGACTTCTGTTGTGCTGTGACTTGAGAATGGCACCCTCGAGGGTTACACACAGATATAAAAGCTGCTGGGAGTAAGGGAGGAGAAGATTCTGCAATTTTCCTCTGAAGGACAAGAAAAGCCTGGACAGCCCATGTCCCCAGCCTCCATGACTGCACCACGTGCCCACATGGACACTCATCCCTTATAGGATAAGAGGACTCCATTCATGAGGCTGAGAATTTTATGATATAAATTACTAGAGACTAACATTGAGTTTTTAATAATTAATTTTTATAACCTAAATTCAGTTATCCCAAATTGTTACCTCTTTCTTCAGTGTAAAATTGCTTGCCATGATTGAGTTTTAGGTAGATTCCCAATGTTTACAACTAAACTTCCAAGGGAGTTTTGAGAACAAAAGATAAATGAGGGCAGAGAAACCCATTTTTACTGTATTGGCCACCAAACTCGAGTGAATTCAGCACTACCTTTGATCACCGTTGCTTGTCTGCAAAGTTCAGGTTTCCACTTCTCACATTCCAACACAGACCCTCCCTCTTCCAAATGTTTGGCCTCCACGTTCTGTAAGGTCACACTATGTTCTTAGATTTTTCTCTGAACAGTTTTATGAGTGTGGGAATGAGCCATTAAATGGAAATTTTATATCTTCTCAGCATGAATCCCAAGGGCGGTCATGAATTATTCTCCTGCTTGTGGTAACTGATTTGTCTTGGCATGTTCATTACTAGTAATATTCAAAGCCATTTCATTTAAATATTTGTTGCTTCAATTTTTGTTGCTAAGACACCCCACTAGCATTAAAACATGACCTCATGTCCAGGCTCAGTTGTCATTAGTAATAACCACACATGCCAACAGCTAAGCATTCTTTTCACAGCAGACATAATTTTCTCTTTTCTTGGGATAAAGAGACACTGATGAGCTACTCCCCACTCACAAGAACATATACACAATTATTATATTTTCATTTATTTGACTAATAAGCTACATCATTTTCCCTTCAAATTATTTACCCTCCAGAAACCTGAACAAAATCTGCATCTATTCAAACCATAAACTCAGAAACCACATGGTGAGTAAAGCTCACCTGGTTGTGGACACTAGTTCCATCTCTTCCCCTCCAATGTCCCACCACACCTCAGCCCACCTGTCCAGATTCTATCCAGAAAGTGTAGCTCCTGCACAGTCAAGGAAACAATTTAGTGAAGAGAGAATTGCAGGTGATAGACAATATTTGAAACTATTCATATGACAGAGGATTACTATCAAGCATATAAAATAAACTCATCTAAACTGCAAATAATAATGTGATTAATAATGGGCAAATAACATAATACACATTTCTCAAAAGAAGAAATTAAAAAGGATTGATAGATAGATAGATGTATATACATACATATATTGCTAGAAATCACTAATACAGGAAAATGCGAATTCTCAATGAGATGTCTTTTCATCTCAGACACAACAAAACAAAACAAAACAAAAGGTGGCCAGGATGCATAGAAAGAGAGACTCTTATAGACCACTGGTGGAAATGCAGATTACTACAGCCATCATGGGAAAAAATAGAACTACCATGTAATTCAGCAATCCAACTGCTGAGTATATATCTATGTAAATAATTAAAGAAAAAACTAATATTGAAGAAATACCTGTACACCTATGTTTATTGCAGCACTAATCAAAATAGCTTAGATATGAGATCAGCATATGCATCTATCAACAATGAATTGATGAACAAAATGTGGTATATTTAAACAATTGAATAATATTTAACCTTTGCAATTAATTTCTGCCATTTGAAGAAATATGGAAGGAACGGGACACAATTATGTTGAGTAAAACAAGCCAGACACAGAAAACTAAACACTGCATTTTCTTAGTATTATGTAGAAATTTTAAAAAGTTGATTTTCTAGAAGTAAACAGTAGAGTAGTGGCTATAAGATGCTGGGAATGGGAGGAGACCAAGAGATAAGAAGAAGTTTGTTAACAAACACACAACTACAGGTAGATAAGAGGGGCATGCTTCAGTGTCCACCAGCACGATAGGGTGACTACAGTTAGAAATATATTGTGTATTTTATGTTTACAAGTAGGAAGAAGAGGAGATTTTGTATGTTATCAACACAAAGAAATGTTAGTGTCTGAGTTCATGAATTTGCTCATTGTTCTGATTTGGTCATACCACATGGCACTCATGTATTGAAATATTACACTGTACCCCATAAATATAAACAGATTTCATGTGCCAACTTTAAAATTTCCTTAATTAAAAAGGATGTCATTGGCATGAACTACACATGCTTTAACACAGTCAGGAATGAATGCCATTTTTATTTGAAATAGTGAATTTCCTAACAACATAGTTGCATTCATTTGCACCAAAGTGTATTTGATTGTGGTAAGCATAGACACACTTATACATAGAACAATATATTTTAATTGTAGACTTCTACTTAACACTACACATGCAAGTAATTTGAAAACAACTATGTAAGAGAAATGAAGTTGAGGAAATGTGTGCATAGCACGTGATATGTGAGCCTTTTCTTGTGCACCGCTCTGTCCATGTGGATGTGTGGTGTGTGTGTCTGTACCTGTTTGTGTTTACTCTGCTTGGGGCTCTCTGTGATTCTAGGATATGTAATTCAGTGTCTTCTACAAGATTGAGAACATTCTCAGCCACTATTTTTTCAAATATTTTCTCTGTATTATATTTCTTCTTTTCAGATTTAAAATATACATATAGTACACATTTTGATATTGATGTTTAGTTTATTTCTTCACTCTCTTTTCCTTTGCAATTTACTCTGTGAAATTTCTAGTGACGTTTTATGCATATGCTTTCAATTAAAACCGAGTCAGCTCTACTGACGGACGTGCCCAAAGCTTGCTCAATGTTCATAATGCACAGCTTTTAACTTCTTATGCATTTCCATTTTTTCCTTTTTAGTATTTTTATATTTCAGTTTCCTATCTATTCTCACATTATATTCACAGTTTCTGTAAGAGATTTTACATATGAATTATAGTTACTACATATGTCTTATTTAATTAGATAGTTACAATATCTGTATCATTTGGAAATCTCATGCTGGTCATTTGTTTATTAAGACTTTGGCATTTCTCCTTGATGTACTTAATTGTCGATAGCCACACATGTTGGGTTGGACAGTTGATATTGGCTTATTATTTTATTTTATGCACTGCCTGCCTGCATTTGTCCACACTACCTTTGCGGGGCATTTATTGTGGAAGCGTCTGTGAATCTTCTCAGAGCTACATCTGAAATTTACTTTGGCAGTGGTCGTCAGGGTTGATGTCTGTTTCTCTCTGTCCCCCAGAGACTTCAGATCCTCCAGTGACACCCTGTTTTTCTTTCCTGCTTGGCTTTGCCTCTTCACTGTGTTCCCTCCCCCAGAGAATTTCTTTCAACTCCCTCACATGGATTAAAATATTATTTAACTGACAATTGTGAAATTCATGGAAGGCAATAGAATAAAGGGAGATTTTCTGACCATTTCTGGGTCCATATTGTGACCCTGAGTCTGGATGTGAGCTGTAGAGTGTTTGTGAGCTTCCTCCAGATGAGATGTTGGTGTGCATCTTCTTGCTCTTTTCCCTGGAGTAGAGCCCTGTTGTTTTCCCCAGTAGTTCCCTCCCACAGCTTCAATGTTGTATTCTGGTGTTATCACCTTCCAGATTTGCTGACCTGGCCTGCAGATTAAAACTCTGATTAAATAAGAAAGAGAGAAAAAAATACTTCTGAATGGAACTTAGGGGAAGGCCTCTTATCCCATCTCAGTCCCTAAGGGGTTGCACCGGTGCCTTAAGATGCTGGTTTTGGTGGCTTGTCCATGCAGAGTAATTTCTTAGTTCTGCAATGGGGATAAGGGAGGTGGGTCTAAATGCATTTGAGTGTGGGCTCCTTTTCTCTTCAGACGGACACACTGGGACAAAAAGATTTTTGTGACTGTCCCATTTTGGGGAAAAGGGATTGAAGAGAATAGGAAAGCTCTTCAGCATGTGGTCCCTGAGAAATTCACACTCAACACGTTTGCCACACTCGACTTCAATGTGTCCAATATAGAAGTTGTTTTTATCTTGTAATGGCTACATTTTATATCCCATACTCTGCTTCAATTCAGCTCACACCCTGGCTTTCTTACTCACTGCAAGAACTTGCCCCTCCCTAGATTTCACATTTGATGTTTACCTTGAAACTTCAATATCTAACGTATTAAAAAACAAATTGGCCAGTTGTGGTGGCTCACATCTGCAATTCCAATACATTGGAAAGCCAATGGGGGTGGATCATCTGAGGTCAGGAGTTCCAGACCAGCCTGGCCAACATAGTAAACTCCGCCTCTACTTAAAATACAAAAATAAAATTATCCAGGCATGTGGTGGGCACGTGTAATTCCAGCTACTGTGGAGGCTAAGACAGGAGAGTCACCTGAACCTGGGAGGCAGAGGTTTGCATGTCAGGCCATTGCACTGCAGGCTGATCAAAACAGTGAGACTATGTCTCAGAAAAAAATGCAAAGCTCAGCTTCTCTGTTTATCTGTCATTGTTGAAGTTATGGTGGTAAAAAATAAGTAAAATACATTATTCATCTATGTACGTTTCTAAGCTGTGTAGCAGATTTTTTAGTAAGACCAAGAGTAATAAAAGAATGCAAATATTATTAAGCTGCTTAATAGGAAAACAAATTATCATAAATGTGTCCACTGGAATACTATCCATAATTTATAGTAAATAAATGCCTGATACACAGAACAACAAGGTAAAATATCTAAGTATTTATGTTGAGTAAAATAAGCCATGTGTGATGAAATGGAGAAAACACTGACATAAAAAAAACACAGCTGACACGAATGAAATAGGGTAATCAGGGCAAAGCGTTTGTCACAGCACAATTTCATAATGAGTCAGCATATGTTCCGAATACCATCATTGTCAGCAAACTCCTGCAGGGCACCATCACCTTCGCTGGGCACAACCTCCCCCTCAAGCGTCCCACCCTAGAGCTTGCTATATAGTAGGAGACATGCAAATAGGGCCCCCCTGTACTGATGAAAACCAGCCCAGCCCTGACCCTGCAGCTCTGAGAGAGGAGCCTTAGCCCTGGGGTTCCAAGGTATTTCCACCTGCTGCTCAGCACTGAACACAGAGGACTCAGCATGGAGTGGGGGCTGAGCTGGGTTTTCCTTGTTGCCATTTTAGAAGGTGATTCATGGAAAACTAGGGAGACTGCGTGTGAGTGAGAGAAACAGTGGATGTAGGTGGCAGTTTCTGACCAGGATGTCTCTGTGTTTGCAGGTGTCCAGTGTGAGGTGCAGCTGCTGGAGTCTGGGGGAGGATTGGTTCAGCCCGGGAGGTCCCTGAGACTCTCCTGTGCAGCCTCTGGATTCACCTTCAGTGACTACCGGATGAATTGGGTCCGCCAGGCTCCAGGGAAGGGGCTGGAGTGGGTCTCATACATTAGTAGTGGCAGTGGTGGTACCACATACTACGCAGACTCCGTGAAGGGCCGATTCACCATCTCCAGAGACAACGCCAAGAACTCGCTGTATCTGCAGATGAACAGCCTGAGAGCCGAGGACACGGCCGTGTATTACTGTGCGAGAGACACAGTGAGGGGAAGTCAGTGTGAGCCCGGACACAAACCTCCTGGAGGGGACCCCGCGACCACCATGGGGCGCCCGGGCGCTGTGCACGGGGCTGTCTCGGGCAGGTGCAGGTGCTGCTGAGGGCTGGCTTCCTGTCAGGATCTGGGGCTGCCTCGTAGTCACATTTCCCCAGGGAATCTCCCAGATTTACAATTCTGTACTAACGTATTTCTACACAGAATATATATGTAGAAATATATATTCTAAACTATGTATGGAACTGAGAAAGACCCTGAATAGCCAAAGTAATCTTTTTTTTTTTTTGGTATTGTTTTTTATTGCATTTTAGGTTTTGGGGTACATGTGCAGAGCATGCAATACAGTTGCATAGGTACACACATTGCAGTGTGTTTTGTTTGCTTTCTCCCCTTCACCCACATTTGGTATTTCTCCCCTGGCAATCCCTCCCCACCTCCCCCTCCCACTGGCCCTCCCCTTTCCCCCCTATAGACCCCAGTGTTTAGTACTCCCCTCTCTGTGTCCATGTGTTCTCATTTTTCATCACCCGCCTATGAGTGAGAATATGCGGTGTTTCATTTTCTGTTCTTGTGTCAGTTTGCTGAGAATGATGTTCTCCAGATTCATCCATGTCCCTACAAACGACACGAACTCATCATTTATGATTGCTGCATAATATTCCATGGTGTATATGTGCCACATTTTCCCAATCCAGTCTATCATCGATGGGCATTTGGGTTGATTCCAGGTCTTTGTTATTGTAAACAGTGCTGCAATGAACATTTGTGTGCATGTGTCCTTGTAGTAGAACGATTTATAGACCTTTGGATATATGCCCAGTAATGGGATTGCTGGGTCAAATGGGATTTCTATTTCTAAGGCCTTGAGGAATCGCCACACCGTCTTCCACAATGGTTGGACTAATTTACACTCCCACCAACAGTGTAAGAGTGTTCCTTTTTCTGCACATCCTCTCCAGCATCTGTTGTCTCCAGAGTAATCTTAAGCAAAAAGAACAATACCAGAGGCGTCGTACTACCAGACTTAACCCTACACTGTGAAGTCAAAGTGAGAAAGACACTTGGTACTTGTACAAGAGCAGATACGCAGAAAACAACACAACAACATAGAAGACAGACATCAAGCCACACACCTAAACCATTTGGTATTTGACAAGGCTGACAAAAAACAAGCAATAGGGAGAAAAAACTCTGTATTTAGTAAATGGTGATGAATAAATGGATATTGACAGGTAGACAAAATGCAAGAGTGAAGGAGGCTGGCAGCTTCTCCCTAAATTTCAGATGTGTAGAGAGTCATATGCCCAGGAAGAAGCTTCAAGTGTGGAGCCACCGCAGTCTCTACTAGGGCAGTACCAAGGATGGGGAAAGATGGCACTGAAGCCCCATTCAAAGTCCACTGGGGCACCTCCTAGTGCAGCTGTAGGAATGAGGTCACGACTCTGAAGGCCCCAAAATGGTAGAGCCATGGGCAACTTGCACCATCAGCTTAGAGAGGTTTCCAGCCCTTGACTCTCACTACTGGAGGCAGCCCCATGGTCTGTGCCCAGAAAAGCTACAGGGATGGGCTGCCTGAGGTTTTGGGAGCCAAGCCTTGTCTCAGTGAGCCCTGGTGAAAGTACATGAATTTAAGAGAGCTTATCTTGTAGCTTTAAGATTTAATCTCTTCCCTGCTGGGTTTCATTTGTGTGGACCTGTGGGCCACTGCTTTCCCCAATTTATCCCTTTTGGATTGAAATAACTTATCTAATGCCTGTACTATCATTGCACCTTGAAATAAACAATTTATATATATCTATATATATATTTTTTTAATTTGCAAGCTTACAGATGGAGGGAAATTGCCTTAAGACTCAGATGAGACTTTATACATTTGAGTTGGAGGTTGACCAACATAAGAATTTTGAGACTAACTGAAAAAAGATGATTATATTTTGCAATGTAAAAACATGAGGACTTTGAGCCTGAGACTACAGTGATATAGTTTAGATGTTTTCTCCTCCAAATGTCATGGTGAAACGTGATCCTCAGCATTGGAAGTGGCGCCGCCTGTGAGGTTTGGGGTCATGGGGTAAGGTTTTTTAGGAATGGCTTGGTCACCACCCCATGGCACTTAGTGTATTCTTGCTGTATTAGCCACTGTGAGATCTGATGTTCAAAAGAGTCTGGCGACCTTTCTCCCCTCTCAAGTTCCCCTCTCACCACGTGACACAGCCTGCTCCCCCTTTGCCTTCCTCCGTGATTGTCAGCTTCCTGAGGCCCTCACAAGAAGCAGATGCTGGTGCCACACTTCTCACAGACCCTGCAGAGCTGCGAGCCAGGCAAGCCTCTTTTTTTCTAAATCACTTGGCCTCAGGTATTAATCTATAGCAATGCAAAATGGGCTAACACACTGCCCAAAGAATTATACAGATTCAACAGTATTTTTATCAAATAACCAATATAATCTATTACATATTTAGAAAAAATACTGAAATTCACATAAAAAAGTCTGAATAGCAAAAGCAATCCTGAGCAAAAAGACCAAAGCTGGAAACACCACATTGCCTGACCTCCAATTATACTACATAAATATAGTAAGAAGGACAGCACGGTACTGGTTAAAAACAAATAGAGTCAAAAATAAAGCTAAATGTCAAAAAAAACACTGTTCTTTGAAATAACTGAGAACAATACACACAGAAGAAACAACCCTCCATTCAATAAGTGATGCTGGGAAAATTCGATGGCCTTCTGTACAAGAATAAAATGAGACTTTTATATCACCATAGACACAAATCAACTGATTATGGACTCAATGTTTAAATGTATAAACTAAAACTATAAAAATAGTTGAAGAAAATCTAAAAATGTCCTCTGGACATTGGTCTAAGCAAATGAAATATGACTAAGACTTCAAAAGCAAATGCAGTGCAAAGAAAAGTAGACAAACGGGATTAATTGAACTGAAGATCTTCTGCACAGCAAAAGAAATAACCAACGTGATGTCCAGATAACCTACAAATGGTAAAAAACATTTGCAAACTATTCATCTTGCAAAGGGATAATATATAGAATCTACAATAACTCAAATAAGTCAACTAGGAATAACAAATGACTTAATTAAATCATAGGAAAAAACAGACATTTCTTAAAGGAAGACACAGAAGTGGCTAAAACCAATAAAAAGTATACTACGCATCACCAATCATCTGATAATTGTAAATTAGAAACAACATGATATGGCGTCTTCCACCAGTCAGAATGGCTGTTACTACAAATAAAAACAGCAGGTTTCGGCAGAGATGCATAGGAAAAATAATGCTGACATATGCTTAGTGAGAATGTAAATTAGTACAACCTCTATGAGAAACAATACAGAGCTTTCTCAAAGAACTGAAATTAGAATTACCATTTGTCCCAGTCATCCCTCCCAGTGGGTATGTTCCTCACAGAAGCAAACTTTTATATCAGAAAACG